CTTGGAGGCGCCGGCGGATGTTGTGGCGGTGATATCCATTCCGGAAAACACTTGCTCCTCGGACTTACTGACCTCAAGCCGTCGCCAGGCCATTTCCCTTCATCCTCTTCTCCATGACGCCCTGGGACGAAAGAAAGAGATGTCAAAGACTTGCAGGCGTTGCAGCCACAGAAGCAAAGAGATCGGTGAAAAGAAAATTAGAGAAAATTAGGATAGGTGATAGTACGTATTTTTTAAGTGAACGGTACAGATCATTTTAAAATGAAGGGCTGAGATGCATTTGTATTCCTATTAAGTATATAGAGGATTATCTTTATATATAAATAGTTCTTACAAAAATAAGAACTATTTTTGTAAAACAAATTGGGACAATGAGAATACATTATTGTTATTCTTGTTGTTGTACATAATTGAAGAATAATAAAAGTGTAATATAATGTATGGAATTTTTACTATGAAGTTTTGACTATGTTCATATTTTATGAATATTGTTATCATGTTTTCAGAAGATAATATCTTTAAGTACCGTATAAGTTGTGTGTATTTATGCATATAACTAAAGTATTTAATTTGAAACATACTATACAATTTGAATTGATGCACAATTCTATCAATAATTAAGCATATTATGTAGATGCTACAAGTTAATAAAGTGTTGTAATGTAAAAGTATGAATTATTTTTTATATTGTACAGAGTATGAGCATTTACGTTGTTTAATGGGTTAAATAACGGTTGAAAAATTAATGTTAGCATCTATTATGAGAAGTCAATAAGAGAGTAACACATAACATTTCATAATTCAAATATACTATTTTTTACCGTAGGGGGTCAGGGGGCTGGTGTAAACTAGGCACAAGTTCCTTCCATGGAGTATTGTAGAGGTGGGCAAAAATCCCGGTGCCGGTGTCCCAAACCAAAAAATCCCGATACCGTTCCGAAACTATCCCGATCCATTTAGGACACAATTTTTTCATCCCGAACCGGTCCCGCACCGATATTAACCGAGACGGGACCGGGATAGCTATAAAATATCATGTCCCGTCCCGGTGTCCCGTTTGAAATTAATATGTTATTTTAAATTTATAATGCTATGTAATAGTCAAACCCAATTAAAACTTTCTAGTCCTTAGTCTCCCTAGTGACTAGTGTAATTTTATTTTATTTCATGTCTCTCTTAGTCTCATTTCTTTTGTTTCTTTTGATTAAAATTTGTTTAGTTCTCATTCCAATACTAAACCATAATATATTATTACGTGCGGAATACTATTTATGATTGAATAACTACTACTCCAAATTATAGTTTTGTTATAGATTTAATATTTTCCAAAATAACTACTAGAAAATATATATATATATATAGAGTCTTTATAGATATGTTATTTAATTTAATGTCGTATTGAAAAATTACAAGTGTACTACAAAGTATAAAAATATTTTGCACTACTATTCTACTAAAGGAAACACAAGATTAGGGGGACCAAAAAAATTTACAAGACAAAAATTAAAAAATAGTTAATTAAAGGTTTTACTGAACTTTTTAGGGAAGCTAAATTTGCAAAAATAGTTATGTCTTTATTGTGATGTTATGCTTATTTTTATATCACATTTCACAAATGCATATTTTATGGGACATCCCGAACCACCCCGGTTTTTCTCGGGTTGTCCCGGTCCCGTTTTAAATGAGACAACATTGGCATAAAGACTTATCTTGTACCGTACCGAACCGTTGTTATAAAACCGGGACAGAATAAACCAAATCCCAGACCGTCCCGGACCGTGCCCACCCCTAGAGTATTGAACTCGAGACCTACGAGAATGAATCGTCGACTAACTGAGCTGGATCGCTTCCTCAATAGAAAGAACAATAAGAAATAATAAATTTGATGTTTTACACATTCTTTTTTTAACTTTAAAATGTAAAAGTTAATTATGAAATCTTAGTTTTAGGATATGAATCTACTTATAAAAGTTTTGAGCTTTATTGACAAAAAAAATTTGTAGGCTTAAAAATATTGACCAATTGGATCTTCAGATTTGTTGTTATATATACAGTATTGGTGTCATATTAAAGATCATAAAATAAAAAGTTATGAATTTTGATATATATTTTTATTAAAATTGAAGCACAAATAAAAAGTTATATCACTTTAAAAACAAGAGATTTTTCTACTTATTTATCCGAACGAGATGGCCTAATTAAGGTAAATAGCTAGTGATGCATCGTGAACTTGGGAGAATTAATTAAATGTTTAGTGGGAGTGATACTATAATTCTTAATAACCAATAACAGATTGACACATAGTTGATTTACAACTCAAATTTACTATATAAAACCATAGATGATTAATATTACTACATCTACCAATTAAGAGAGTGCTTTGAACTACTTTTTCAAACTGCTTTTGATGTTTCAGGAAGCAGAAACAGATATTTGGTGTTTCAAATTTCTCCTAGAATCAATTTTTAGAAGCTGTGGAACACCAATTTTTAATAAGTTGATTCTGATTCTATTTCTATTTCTACTTCTACTTTTACTTCTGCTTTTGAAAAGGAAACAAAAACAAAATTAATTTTCAAACACCTCTGAACCGTATTTGCGTCTAATACTACCTCCGTCCTGGTGGACTTTGTCAAGTTCAAAATAGGTGAAAAATAAGAAAAGAAAAAATTATGTGGTTGAGGTTTGTGCAGAGGACATAGAATTATGTAGAAACACAAATTAATTGCTTTGATAGGAAAGTGACAAAGTTTTTTTGGACAACCAAAAAAGAAAAGTTGGTCAAGTCCAATGGGACGGAAGGAGTATATACAAAGTAAATTCTTTTGAGGGAAGAAGTGGAGTGACTCGAGTCTATCAGCTAGATTGAGAGAGTGTTTGTGATTGCTTCAACTTAAACAAATGATTTTTTAAAAGTGATTTTGAAGAAAGTGTTTAATAGAATAAGTTGATAGTGTTTGAAAAAAAGTGATTCTAAAAAAGTAAAAGTTTGTAAAGTTTTGTAAAATAATTGCTTTTTTGTATAGAAAAAGTGAAAAATAGTTTAAATCACCCTTTCACCTGCCACAGCTTTTAACTTTAAAGTTATTAATTTAAGCAGAAATTGTCATTTGAAAACACCATTTTAATCTTTTTTCACGTCAAAGGCGGAAAAAACTTTTTTATTTTTATTTTTTGCAAAAACACTTCCAATTGAGGTTTAAGTTGTTGACAATGAGCAAATGAGTCGGGGTAGACATCTCATTCTAAGGGTGGACACAACGGTTTGGTTTAACCGAACCATACCAAACCGAACTAAACCGAAACGAAATTGGACCGTATGCAATTTGGTTTGAGTTTGGTACTATTTCTTTCAAACCGTATTAAACCGAACCGAACTGAAACCGATAAAAACGGAACAAAACCGAACCGAACTAAAGAAATTAAAAAAATCATATATTGTTAACATTGATGGTTTGATTTGGTTTGGTTTGGGTTTACTTAAGTAAATCGTTTGGTAAACATTTGCTCAAACCGAATGGTTTGGTACTTTCGTTTGGTTTAAAACAGAAAAACCGTAAACCGAACCGAACACCAAACAACATATACATATATATACTTTGCATTTATCTTCTGATGGATAGTGTACCCGGGGGTAGCTTATCCGAGGGGTTATTACGAGGAATAACGTAGAGAGAAGTCAGAGCAAACAAGTAAGAGAGAGAAAGAGTCAAATGTATTAAATGAACTCGAGATGTTGGAATCGTTTACAAGGGGAAAGGGGCTGCTATTTATAGCAGCCATAAATGCTAAGCGTGTACACATGTCACTAATCTAACGGCCGAGGGTCACCTCAATCGGGGTGGCACCGGCAACTGCATGTGCACCGCATTAAATGCGGTGGTTGGACGTGACACCGCATTTAATGCGGTGGTTGCTTGTCTTTAGAGGAAACTTCATAGGGCGTAGACCCTTCGGACTGGATCATATGGTCGAAGGCTTCATGTATGGCTGAAGGCCTCATGTATGGCTGAAGGCTTCATGTATGGCCGAAGGCTCCCCCGGCTGAGGACTACTACTTTTCTGCCGTTTTCTCTCAATAGCTTTACATGCCCAAATCTAGCTGTCTCCTGGTGTTTGGAGCCCTCGGCCATAGGGCCGAAGTCATCTTCGTGTGCACCATGGGCTTCTCGACGCTTGGGCCATTATATTTGGGCTATATGTGCTCATTGGGCTTGATAGGCCTGTGTAGAAGAAGTAGGAGCCTGTGGGCCGGGGGTCCCTGAGCCATATACTCCATCATCTTCACTCTTCATTTTTAAGATATAAATAAATAATTTAGACATGAATATACATATTTAAGCATATACTCGTATAATTTTAATTTTTACACATTTCATACATTCATTATGACAAAGTTAGGTAATACGACATATTTGTACGGAGTATTTGTTATGTTTGGCGATAACAATAGCAAATTGCATTTAAATTTTTACATGATTCATTTGAATAAAATTGTGAATATTACAACATTTGTACCATCGACTCTTTTAGATTTTTTTAAATATTTTATGTGATATTACAAATGCTAATCAACTATCTTATTTTTTGTAAGAAGTGAATTTTTTGTAGTGATAAAAAGATGTTAGAAGTTTTAATTTATAATATTTTATTATTTATTTTTCTATCTTTTATTTCCTATTTTCCTTTTACATTTTATTTAAATAATCAATAAACTAAAAAAAGATGAGATGGACTACTACTTTCATTTTCTAATTCTAAAATATAGAACTTGATCAAATAAAATACTAGTAATAAACATAAGCAAACGAATCAAACCAGACTAAATTAAACATAATATTTTTTACTTTGGTAAACCGAACATCAAATTGAACTGAACCGAAACCAAACCGAAACACAAATGATTTTAATTTGGTACAAATTCTCCTAACTCGAATAAACCAAAACCGAACTGAAATCGAAGAAAACCGAATCAGAAACCAAATTACCCACTCGCCCTATCTCATTCCATTAAAATTTATTGAAGGAATATCCTTCTACCGTGCTCTCTGGATCCGTTAAGGAAACCAAAGCATGGTCGGCGCTGTCTGCACGAAAACTTCACCTTCATCAACACAGCCAAGCAAGTTCTCCATTAAGGATTCGCTCTCTCCTCCCACTTTCTGCACAAGGTATTAAGCCCTCTCTGCTAACTTCTTCCGAATTCTTACTTATTACTGTCAGAGCTGCAATTTTCTTCTTTTCAAGCTCCTTTTCTTTCAAATAATCATATTTATCTCCTTCTTTGTTATACTCTACTCCTATTACGGTAGTAATTAATGTGATGTTTGGCATTGTTCTTAAATCATTCGTAGCCCGAATTTCCCATTACTGCATGCTTAATTTAATTCAATCAAGCGTAACTCAGATTAATCTTGGCTAGGCGCGTGCCCGGTGCCCAGATTATCTTGCTTCCCTCCTTTTGAACTTGTGATGTTACTGCGATGATGAAGATAAATTTCTGGCTGCTCCCTCTTTCAAAATTGAGCTCCCAAAGCTTACTTTCCTAGTTTAAGCTTCAATTTCATGGTTCTGGTTCCGGAGTTTGATCGTGAACTGTGTTTCTTCTTCAATTTGTTTTTTTTTTGTATTCAATGCACAACAGTTTTCTCTTACCATCGTAGAAGTATGTTTTGCGTTTCTGAAACTTAAATGGTTACAATGACGATGACTATGTCGGCTTTTATGCAGTTTGTGAGCCTGAGGAGTAACCTGGTTATAGGTTAATCAGCTGTTGCGATGGCTAATCTGCTCTCTACCTCTTGTTTGAATACTTATTTATACCCTAAAATTCACCACAGGCTATCAAAGAAAGGAAGGGTTACTATCCCTAACAAATCCTTTCAGCTGAAAACCTTAGACTCACCAAAAGAGCTCATCTCGAGAAGGAAATGGTCGAAAAGAAACACCATCAATGCTAAGGCTGTTTCGGTGGGTCAAGAAAGAAAAACTGATATGGCTTCCGGAGTTGACCAAACCACTAATAGAAGAAAAGTCATGGTTATTGGTGGTGATGGCTATTGTGGATGGGCCACTGCTCTCCACCTATCCAACAAAAACTATGAGGTTTGTATTGTAGACAACCTAGTTCGTCGCCTTTTTGACAACCAGCTTGGGCTTAACTCTCTCACCCCGATTTCATCTATCCACAATCGAATTAGCCGTTGGAAATCACTTACAGGAAAAGATATCCAACTCTTTATTGGTGACATTTGTGATTTTGAGTTCTTGGCAGAAGCAGTCAAATCTTTTGAACCAGATGCCATAGTTCATTTTGGGGAACAAAGGTCCGCTCCTTATTCAATGATTGACAGGTCGAGAGCTGTTTTCACTCAACATAATAATGTGATTGGGACACTTAATGTCCTGTTTGCCATAAAGGAGTTCAGTGAAGAGTGTCATCTGGTGAAACTCGGGACAATGGGCGAATATGGTACCCCAAACATAGACATTGAAGAGGGTTACATAACAATCACACACAATGGAAGAACCGATACCCTTCCATATCCCAAACAAGCGAGCTCCTTTTATCATTTAAGCAAGGTCCATGATTCCCATAATATTGCATTCGCTTGCAAGGCATGGGGTATAAGAGCCACTGATTTAAACCAGGGAGTTGTGTATGGGGTTAGAACAAATGAGACTGGAATGCACGAGGAATTGGTTAATCGATTTGATTATGACGGAGTGTTTGGGACTGCCTTGAATCGTTTCTGTGTTCAGGCTGCTGTTGGTCACCCTCTCACTGTCTATGGTAAAGGAGGACAGGTTGGGATTTTCTTTATTTGCTTGTTGTTCCATTGCATTTAAATTTGTTATGTGCTTCCTTGTCCTTCTCCTCCACAGCCTCCAAAATTTCAAACTTCTATCAAGATATAGACTAAATCCTCCAAAGCCTTCTCCTCCAAAACCCTCATATTAAACAGGCCATAATCTGTTCTTTGTATACTATAAGATTTGATGCACGAGAATAAAAAATAACAAACCAGTCCAGAGTGGACGTTTTCCACAGCAGTTCAGAAAATTATGGAAAGGTATTTCCTCAATAAAAATGCTTTGTGCTGCCAAACACAGGAAAGTCTGGGAAACATTTTTCAAGAAAATATTATCCTGTTAACAAATGCTACAACAAAACTTTTGTAATGTCTTCTTTGCTCATTGGAGGATCACATTGAGAATATTGATTGCTAGCCCGTAGTGCAAATTCCACAACTTAGTTTTCTATTACTTGTTTTATTCTTTTCTGCAAGTATTCAGTGTCTTTATGTGGTGTTTGGTTGTCTTTAGTTTTATTAATTTATTATTATGCAAAAGAACATGTCAGATGACTAATAAGTGTTTTTCTTGTACTTCTTGGAGGCTTATATGACATTATGACTTATAGTAGTAGCATTTAAGTCTGCTCTGCTCTTTCAGCTTCTGGATGTGTTTATTTTTAAATTTTTAAATTTGTATGCAGACGAGAGGATACCTGGACATTAGAGATACAGTGCAGTGTGTTGAGCTGGCAATTGCAAATCCTGCGAAGCAAGGAGAATTTCGGGTTTTTAATCAGTTCACCGAGCAGTATTCTGTCAACCAGCTCGCTTCCCTGGTAACCAAGGCTGGAGAGAAACTCGGGCTTGAGGTGAAAAGTGTGTCCGTCCCCAACCCGCGGGTAGAGGCAGAGGAACATTATTACAACGCCAAACACACCAAACTTATTGAGTTGGGTCTGCAACCCCACCTTCTGTCGGACTCTCTCATCGACTCGCTTTTGAATTTCGCCATCCAATTCAAAGACTGTGTTGACACAAAGCAGATAATGCCCAGTGTTTCCTGGAGAAATGCTGTGGTGAAGCCGAAAATGGTTGTGGTGTAAATCTAGTAACTGCTTTTCGTCCATTTATTTTAACAATAAGACCATAGCTAAGATTATGTGACATTTGTAGCAGGCTTCTGTAGTGATTTGATGAGATCTAGTTTTTAAGAGTCTTTTATACATACAGGAAGATCTAGTTTATACAATAAGAGTCATGCGTTTATTATATACATACATCAATGAAATAAGATCTAGTTTTTAAGAGTCTTTTATAAGACGATAAAAAAAATAGTCTTTTATAAATTTCAATTCTAAGTGAAGTACTAGAGGAAGTGAGAATTGAGAAGAAGTGATTCTTTTAACTAGAGGAAGTGAGAATTGAGAAGAAGTGATTCTTTTAACTTTGGAGTTGCTGAAACTTTGGCGAGGGTTGTGGAGGTGGGGCTAGGATTGTGGAGGCAGGGTGAGTGCTGTACCGAGATTGAAAACTAGGTCACTATGGAGGATGCATTACAATTTCGTCCGAAAAAGTCGCTAGAAAATCCCCCGGTCACAATGACATGTTTCACGGTGGCATGACATCTGTAACTGACACGAAAATCGAGCAGTAACAACTCTCAATAACTTGAAAAAATCGCAATGACATAAAAATTTTGTAGCGACATCACGTTTTCCCAAATAATGTCAATTTAATCACACTTTTGTCATATTTAAAAGTAGTCACATATTGAAAATTGACTTCAATTTAGTAATATTTAAGGGGATAACCCTTAAGTTAATCTTTTATTCATAAATATACAAGTAACTAATTGTTGTCATCTTCATCATCATTACCCCAGTGCCGCAAAGGCTCCCATCTACGATGGGGTAAGGGGGGGTCGGATGTACGCAATCTTACCCTTGTACTAAAGCACCGAGAGACTGTTTCCGGATGACCCATAGTGAAATTCGCGTCGAAAATTGCATGCACTGACTACTGCTTCATAATAAAGAAGCGCAGACAATTTAGTGAGTCATTTTGCTTTATTCCATCATAAGACCAAAATTAAATAATACCAGTAATTGAAAGATTGCAGTGATTTAAAGTTACGGGACTAGTAATAAAGAGTCTAACGTTGTGTGACTAAATTGCAAATCTCTCTATTTAAACATAAGACTATGAACTGTTTGGATCTGTTTAAAATCAGATATTGGAGTGTTTGTAGGAGCAGAGGTAGGGGGCCAACTGAGCCCTGACCCACCCCAAATTTAAAAACTATTTGTATTTTTAGTGTTAAATTTTATGTATAAAAATTTATCCGGAAACCATCTTTGTATCGGCCCTTATAAATCTTTGTATAGGCCCATAAAAATCTTTCCCTCCTAGCTACGCCCCTATATTTGGGTGAAAGTTGAAAGGTACTCTATGTGCTCCAAATTGTTTCTAAAAACCATTTTTGAAAAGCAAGGGAGACAGAAAATTGATTCTACTCCCACTCATGCTTTCAAAAAATAAGTAAAACCAAATCAATTCCAAACACTATCAATAAACACATCTTGTATTGTTTAATAATGCACTATACTCACATTTAATATTTAAATATTTCGCACGTTCATTTCTTGTGAATACTTATGTCTTTAACTTTAATTTGAATGGAAAATAGTATAGTACAAATAGTTGAAGTGTAGATAATTTCAATCAACCAAGAGAACACATTATGGGGAATAGAAGCTGGGCAAATATACATGCTTTTGCAACAGAAAATTAGGGTCAAGAAAATTAGCTCAATATATTATAAGTATTCTGTCAACAAATTTGAGCAATATAATGATAGCAACGACGTACGTATTCGGCCATCACTATATATAATAAGCTATGGATGACTAAAACGAAAGAAAAAAACTAGCTAGCTAGGAGGGGTATACAATATAAAGCCGACTGATCAACGAAGACAACCCGGAGGGAGTTGTTGGCCAACAGCCAACTGATCAACGAAGACAACCCGGAGGGAGTTGTTGGCCAACAGCCAACTGATCAACGAAGACAACCCGGAGGGAGTTGTTGGCCAACAGCATTCCCATGAACATTGGAACATAAGGAAGTGGCCGAGCCATCGAGACCATTGTAGACCAAGTTGATGTCCACAAGTTTGACATCTTGGCAAGGGTGTGTTGGACTGCAATTCAAAGTGACCGCTGCCTTTGAACTCGATGTCCCCCTTATCTTTTTGAATGTCACGTTCCTTATTTCAACCGAAGATGTGCTCTACCATGCATGAATGAAAACAACAATAATGAAGTTCATTTCATTCTAATAATAATAAGTTCTCGGTAAGGTAACGACAGAAAAATTAAAGTTCAAGTATATGGATATAAGGATGTTTTTAGTCACATCAAAAATTTCAAGTTTAATCTGGTTTGGGTTAATCCGTTTAATTGTGATCGATTGATTCTTTTTACATGTAGTCTGTTTAAATCTCATCTCATCTCATCTGTTTAAATCTGATCTAAAACGGAAATAAAACAAAACATCCTATCACTAGATCACAAACTTGGGAAATAAAATAAGAAAGTCCACATTCTCGCAATAAGACGGGTGAAGTATAAAGTTCTGCTCGATGCATATACTTGAGGTATACTCCATTCTGTCTAATTACTTAATCGTTTTGCTTCTTTTTTCCAAAAATGTTCCATTTTGGCGTCACTTATTAGAAGTAGCTGCATTCAATAAAATTTCACCTAGTAGTTAAATAAAACGTCACACGCCAAAATGTGAGAGTAATTTGTAAGGAAATAATATTCATAAACACAAATTTCTTAAAAATAAAAACGATCTTAACAGGTGTGTAGACAATGTAGTAACTATGTAAGCAATCTAATAAGCATAAATTTATCACTACGATCTTAACAATGTTGTCACGCGACATCCTTCAATTGATATTCCCTATGACATATCAAATTGATCTATAACAAAATTGATCTTTTGACTTCCACATCCTTCAACATTCGTCTCGACCATTATAATAATATAAGAAATACGAGTAGATAGTAGTTATATAAATTATACAGTTTTCAAAATTAATAACACATGAAATCAAATCGGTCGAATTTAATTATTTTGATTTAAAAAGTCAAATAAACTATAAAATTTACATTAGTAACAATTAAATGGAATGTAGTTTTTTCAAACCAATTAAATCCCAAATAGCTTAGGTAACATGCATACCTGAGGGCTACAAGGAGGAACAGGACAATATTGCTGGTCAATAAATATGGGATTATTGACATTTGTCATCACAACATCCTCGAAAATAACATTGCTGACTTTACTCGGATATGAGGGCGCCCAAGTCTTGATCCTCACTCCATTTTGGGTATCCGAAAAACTGCAATTCTTTATATGTATATCACTCACAAATTCGTTTTTGGATTTCCCTAGACTTCCAATACTAATACCATGACCCGGACCGCATGACACATTGTCGACGCTAATGTTCTGGCAGCCCGAGACCATGGATATGCAATCATCCCCGGTGCCGATGACTGACTGAGAGATTCGGATGTTTTTCGATAATCCAATGTGGATGCCATCGGTGTTCGGGCTATCGCCCGGGGCGGTTAGTGTCACGCCATTAAACACCATGTCATTGCAAGCAAAGACGTCGAAATGGATGTTCTTACTATCGATTGAATGGATATTCTGCACCATGGCGTTGCTCACGAACTGGAACCCCACCGTCTGTACAAATGACATAACAAAATATTTGATCACAATTCACAACATATTTATGACAAAATATTTGATCACTCGTATACTTGTTTTTTTTAGAATTGATTACGAGTGTTACCAAACTTCATCAATTACACCCTTTTCTAATAAAATGCACCAAATTTGGCTGATATGATTGAATAATACAATTTTTTCATAAGTCAATAAAATAATCCAATTCAACGTAACTAGAACCTTATAAATTTTAACATGATCAACCAATTCAGCCAATTAAAATGCCACTAAAGTAGGGCTTGTAATGTAAATCTTAAAGCCAGTAAACTTTTTTCTAGGTTTTATAAATTTATTACTCTCACAAAACTAGAGTAAAAAATGTAAAACTACACAAACCATATTTTAACTTGCAATAGAAACCGAAAAAGGCTAATTAGGATCTGACAATTGCAACGTAATACGAGTAGTCAATGTTGAGCCATTCTTTTAGGTGGGACAAAACAATTTTGGACTGTTTAATTTGTCTGTTCCTTTTCCCACTGGTCAATCTTCCGACATGCGGTTATTTTTTTCTCTTTTTCTATAACTGAGAATTTAATGTTTCAAGATCATAAATTAGATGAAAAGCTGTCGTTTAATTAATTGCAACAAGTGATGCATCGCCTGTTTGTTAAATTATCAACGCCTATCTATACACCGAATATGTCAACCCCTATCAAATTACAATTGATTAAACGAGTCTAATCTCTATTTGCTTTAATTGAACTCCCCAATCTGTAAAAGATAGTAATTTGTAACCACATGGAATGGGTACTTGAAGACTTTTTGATTGGGGCAATTAAGTTGTGTATTAGAGCCTGAAAATCAACTGATTTGACTGATTCTGCTGAAATTTATGAAATTCTGGCTGAAGTGGCTGCATTGGCTGATTCTGCTGATTTAAAAATAATTATTTTTAAAATATATTTTATTGATAAAATAAAGAAAAAGTTATATGTAAAATAGCTAAAATGATCATCTACAGTAATTTCAGCGCATGCAACCGGAAAAATAACTGCAACCTTACTTTTTCTTATTATTACACAATCCAGCGCACAAAAACAAACGTTACGTGTTTGGCAAAAAAGTTGACATAAATCCGATAAGCCAAAAAACAGTATTACCAAATGACCTCTTAGTTTGATTGGAATTATCCAAAGTTAAACTTAAATTTGTGCCTCTCATATATATACATTATATATATATAATATATTAAAATTTTAGCTCTAAATGATACATATGTGGTTAAAAAGGGTAAGCATACATATGTTAGTGATGAGAAACTTACCGCGGGAAGTTTAGGGCAGTGGGGATTTTTGCTACAATCATCGTAGGGCCAAGCACAAGCCCCCTGGCCGTCTAAAGTCCCACCCCCTTCCAGCACCAAGCCTTTAATGTAACGGAAGTCGAGCCACGTGTCCCCCATGAACAACGAAGGGTCCGTCGGAGCCTTTAGCAGCCCTTGGATTTTGAAGGTCACGGGACCCTCGCACCATCCAATAAATTTAACGGCTCGAACCATGTATGTCCCTTGTGGTACCCATACCGTTGCTTTACCTTTCCAGTTGCACGCATCATCCCAAGCACTCAAAAGTGCCTTCAACAAATATGAATGGTAAACGTCGAAATTAAAGATTATAAGATTTCGTAATTGAAAAAATAAGATTATTGTTCACCTTTTCTGGAGAAATAATGTTACGTGGATAATCGAATGGGTTTTAATTGCTTTGGTTTAATTTGATTCCTATTTATAAACCTCAAACTATATTTTGAACCACCTATATATGGCTATATATGTATCATAGGTTTATCCGTTTTGGTTTCAGTGGTCCAGTTTCGATTAATTCTTAAGCTTATTTCAGTGGTTATTCGCACCGAGTTTAAGAAAATAGATGATAGAGGTGATGTTTGGCTTTGGCGTTCCAGCTAAAACCCCAACATGAATTGTACTGAAAACGCTACAAAGTGTAGCGGATAAGGCCAACATTTTCACTCAATCGCCAAAAACCAAACAAACCCAGAGAGGCGAGGAAGCAATCCGGCCGCTGAGTTGGTCACCAACTCCATAGAGGGAGTTTCAGTCTTGTTCATCCCAAATCCCCCGGGTAAAAGAAAAACAAACTCAAAGTGGTTGTATTGTGACTTCCAAAAAGTAATGAAATTAAGGATTTTGGGACGAAGTGAATAATAATTTTAATGAGGATTTATCATGCTCACTAATGAGGAGAATCTATAATAACCTTATTTAAGAAAAGTTGTGTGCTCGGATCTATTGTGATTGTCAGATTATGAATTTTGACCTCGGCCCCACATAATATTGTTTTTCCATTTCAGCTGTTTGTATAATCTTTAACTTAGAAGAGATGGTTCTTTTATTGCTCCCAAATGAACCATTTCTAAACCAATAAACATCTAATAAAAAACAAGATTGACATGTAGAGATTTTTCAAAATTGACAGAAATTTTAATAAGGATATGCTAAATCCGTATCAAAAAGATGTTGGCATGATATATTTGACACGAAGTGGCGGTCAATCCGTGCCAAATCCGTGCAGATCCCATATTTTTTTGTAGTGATCAATAAATATTTATAATTATAATCGATAGTAATCAATAATATGGCTTGCTGAAATGATGTAATATAAATTCCCCGGCTACCCCAAACATGTTCTAAATGTCTTCGCAAATGATAGAACCTACGTAGTAATTAATTTAAGCGCAAACAGAAAAACCAATTTAGAAGTCTCAGATCATGGAATAAAGCAAAACATAATTCGAGCTCTAGAGAGATCAAGTTTGGTCAAACTGGATTTCTACAATTTTTCCGCCATTAGGCTACATTGTATTCACTTTCCGCAATGAAAAGTGAAGGATATTAATACACCTTTGACCTCTCCATATCCAACAAAAACGTTATGGATCTTATGATAGATGGAAAGTAAATAATCCAAAGTGATTAACTCAAGTCGTTATATACGGAGTACTCTTTAGTACAACACTTGCCTTCTATGATTATATAGTCATTCCTTCTACGGAAAGCTTCCAATAAAGAGTGAAATTGAAATGATGAAAAACTTTTTGAAACTTTAGCTATTGAAAAACACAGGATCGGGATTGACAGAGATTTTTGACAAAGATTTCCCAAAATTGGCAGGAGATTGGCGGAAATATGTCAAAACCGTACCAAAAACATTTTGACGTGCTATTTGGCACGAACCCATCTGTCAATCCGTGCCAAATTCGTGTCAATCCCGTAATTTTTTTTGTAGTAAGTTTAATGTTTATATATGACGTGCGATACTAGAATGTATAAAAATAAGTGAATATGAACAAATGAAAGTCACTAAAACAAATTATTTATTTATTTTTCCAAGTCTTCCAACTAAAAAAGATGCAAAAACATTTCTGGACTCTGGCGAATGTTGGTACCATACCATTCTTCATACACAGAATATATACTCGTGAACAAAGCTTCATATTGTCCAGTAAAAACTTCCCACTGCACTGCTGATGTTCTTTGGGTGTATTTAAATTCTAACAAACCAGAAATCATGATCGAAATTGTGTTCTGGAAAAGTAATGCGAATTGAAGTAACAATGTATTGCAGAATGACCTTAACAACACATTCTGCGCCAGAAACCACTTATTGAACTCCATAAAGTTCAAAGTATAAACACATATATTTATATATACTCAAAAAGTATAGCTTTTGGCATAGGACATTTAGACTCACCTTACTATTGTCAGTCTTTCCATCAGGTTTTGCACCATAAGAGATGACGTTGAATACCCTGACCGTTACAGCAGCGTCGACGACCAGACCTAAAATTAGTATTAAAACAGTACAGAAAAGCACCGCCCTTGAATCCATTTGTATGTCTTTTCTGCCTGTTTCTGTTTTATTCACCTTTAACACGTATATGGACGGCAGCATATAAAGAACTCAAGTGGGTTAATTACCTTAATCAGTGGGTGGATATAACATATACGGAGTATTATATATATACCCCTCCCCCTCCCCTGCCCCCCACCCCCCCCCCCCCACACCAAAATAGAACAAGTGGATTTTCATTCACCGCGGGGAATAAGGGCTAGTTTGCAATCGCTTTAAAAAAGCACTTATCAGCTTTTGGATTTAAAAAAATACTTATTTACCAAACACTAACAATTTTGTTACTTTTCTCGGCTTTCGTGGCAAAAGTGTTTTTCCCCCTTTTATACAATAAAAGCACTTATTTTACCAAACACTAGGGAAAACTGTCAATAGATCCTCGAACTTTCATAAAAAAGTCAATTAAGTCCTTCTATAGGAGACTTTGTCCGGTCATCGCGATTTGGGGCGGTTCCCGGTGAAATTTTTTGATGAACTTTTTAGAGCATCTTATTCATCAAGTCTAGTTAACTCATACCAAATTTTAGCTAAAAATTTAATCGGGAGCGCATTCAAATTAATTCGAGAACGCAAAAATGCGCAGTTATCTTCAAGAATTAATTTGAATGTGTTCCCAATTGAATTTTTAGCTGAAATTTGATATGAGTAAACTAGACTTGGTGAATAAGATGCTCAAAAAATTTCATCAAAAATCTTCACCGGTAACTGCCCCAAATCGCGACGGCCGGACAGAACCTCTTATAGAAGGACTTAATTGACCTTTTTATGAAAGTTCGAGGACCCATTTGACAGTTTTCCCCAAACACTATCAACTTTTACTTTTCAAAATCACTTTTTTCTCAAACATTATCAACTTTTACAACTAATTACTTTTTCCAAATCCCCCCAAAAGTGCTTTTTTTAAGCAGAAGCTGTTGCAAACACTCCCTAAGTAATGCCAAACACTTTCTACCTTTAAACTTTTCCTTTCCATTCTTAATTTTTCTTCTCACTCTATTTATTACTCCATTTTCTTTGGGTTAGAAATGTTTTCTAATTATCGAAAACTAATGGGTATCTCGAATATAGAATTTGGATATTTTAGGATTGATTGAGTGAATTTTCATAGAAATCTATTGATTCTATCATATTCCAATAAAACTTTATGAAATCTATAAGAATCCTAACCATATATATAAATGATCGAATTTTTATAAGAACATATTGGCCATGTTTGGCAATCGGCTGTTATTGGTTAGCTTTAATTGATTGTAATACGGAGTAGCTGTTTAAAAATAGTTGCTAGTTACGTTAGTTGTTTGAGTTAGCTAGTTATTTTAGCTTATTGTAAACAGATGTTTAGTATAATTAGCTGTTTAAGAATAGCTGTTAGCGCGTGAAAAGACATATGAGGACATTAGTAATAACAATAATAACAAGGAAAAATTCACAAGAATAATCCCAACTATTAGATGTCTTCTACTATTAATCCCAAATATACATAATTCTAAAATAATCCCAAATTTAGCATCTGTCTTCTACAAACAAGCCTGTGACCTGAATAAACGGCTTTGGCCGGTCACCTGACCACGTGTCAAGTTTCTTTCCACTTTCTTCTTTAGTTTTTTGTTGTTTGGTTATTCTTTTTCCCATTTCTTTTTTTCGAGCTTCTTCTCTGGCAACTCTGTGTCTCTGTCCAATACTCCAAACTCATTTCTTTCTTCGGCCTGTTATGTACTGCGCATCATATTCTTCTTTTCATTCTCGCATCTAATGTGTTTCATCTTCTTCTTGTTTTATTTTTTATTTTCTCCTCTAGTCCCATCTCCTTCTATTATTTGTTTTCCCGTTTTGTTTTCCATCTTTTTGCTTCATCTTCCTGGTACTGGGTGTACGAGTATTGTTCCATCAATCCATCCTCGCCATCAAGGCCAGATTTTCAATGGCCAACTGACTGGCTTTCCCTGGATGACAACGACTATCTGTCTTCATTATCATCTGTCGGAGTTGTTCTTGGAAGCCGGCCCTCCAACTATGGCAACTGTTCTTTGTAGCTGTCCCTTCTTCAGCCCATCCGGTCCGGTCTCCACCGTCGATCGCCCATCCCTCAAGTTTTATCATCGACCGCGATAAATAGTGTCACATTTGAGTTAGATTGAATAAATTAAACTTTTCAGATCTGAAATTGAAAGAATGAAGTACAAATTTGAGGTGCAAATTTCAGAACAAAACTAAATGGAAGGTGTGAAGGAGATTTACTTATGCTATTGAGCGGGAGAAAAAAGAAGAGAAAGAAAATTAAAAATAGAAGAAGAAGAAAGTGAGAAACGTTGCTATTAGAGACAAAGGAGGAATAGTTCCCAGTAGACCAAGATACTGGTTGTTCACCTTTTCTTCGTTTTCTTTTAGTTTGTTTACCCGTTGAACAAGTTATGGGTAAAATGGATCAATTTGAGAAGAGTACCCATAAAGCTGAGATTATTTTAGAATTACTTATACTTGGGATTAATAGTAGAAGACCTCTAATAGGTGGGATTATTCTTGTGAATTTTTTCTAATAACAACAATCACAACAATAGTAACAATAACAACAATAACAATAACAATACTAACAATAATAATAACAATAACAACAACAATAATAATTGTAATCATATTTATAATAGACTTTAATTAGATGGAAACCATAATGACTGATGTGGTGCAATTTGCGAACTCGTTTTAAATATCTTTGATGTAAATGTGATGCTAAATAAAGACCAATTTACTAACAAAGATACACCAAAGAGGATAGACATATTTAGTATTTACTATTGAAATTAAAAAAAAAACTAAATACGGAGTATTAAATTTTAACAAAGAGAGAAACGATGTTCCAAAAAGAAGAAGAGAAAAGCGAATAAAATACTATTCTGGAAGACTTTGCAGGCACTTGCGGCGGGAAGAATTTTATATCACCCAGCCACACTCATATTAAAAAACTAAAAAGAGACACGAACAAGTAACAACGTGCAAAGATGATTTAACAGATGCATAAACTTTAAGCGGTGAAGGGCATAAAAGAGAGAGATGGAACAGCCGATGCAAAACGCTGCCCCTGCAGCGTTTCAATATTTAGCTGATTTGAGTGTGTTAATATATTGTTGGCTCAAACGTTTTTGTATATTCATAATGGTCAACACACTTTCTAGCAGCCCACTACACTATACCCATTTGTTTGTCTGGTCTATCAATATTTGCCTCTCCCGTTAGAATTTGAATCTAACGCATTATTGGGCTAGTGATGAGTTGTGTGTGCAATGTATTATTTGAGTGTCCTTGTGAGCTCTTCTAATAAAGCCAAAATACTTCCCTGTTATAACCACACCCCCTGCCCCTTTGTTCTGCGTGTGAAACTCAGAGTGTTTCCCCCTTCATCTTCCTCTTGGTGAGTGAAGCTATTATTCTTCTTTGTGAGGTGAGAATCCTTCTTGGAGAGGTGAGTGTGAGTGTTGGCGAGGCTAGAAAGGTGTGTTGCTCCCTTAGCCTAGGTGTGCACAAGAGACAACCGGGAAAACCGACGTCCGGACTGCCTGAGCCGGAATCCGATGACGGAATCGATCCTCAACAGTGGTATCAGAGCTTGTGTTGTTGTCGCCGTCGATTTTGCCGGATTCTGCCCTCCGCTGCCGTCCACCGCCGTCCGCCGCCGTACACCGTTGTTCGCCGCAATCCGCCGCTGGTAGAAGCTTTTGGAAGCTCCGCCGGATCTGACCGTTGTTCTACGTTGCCGGTGGAACCTCCCGCTGCTTGAACCGCCGTTCGTCGTCGCTGGTTCAATTGATAGCTGATTCGTTGTTCGTGGTTTCCAGAGGTCAGATGTTCAATTGACTGTCGACTCAAGTCACTGGAGGAGTGCTCGTGACTCGCCTGGACTCTACGCCGCCGGAAATCGACCGTCGATTTCTGTCCAATCGTCGGTCTGTTTGTCCTCGGTCTGTTTGTCCTCACCTGGGAATCGCCGCCCGTCATCGAGGTCAAAGCTCGTAGCTGAAGACTGCCGTCGCAGGGAGGTCCGTCGCTGGTGGTCTAGCTCACCGCCGCAGGGAGTTATTTAGCCCACAAATTGGCTCGTCGCTGGACTGGAAGTTGGTGCGCTGGATCTACGCCGCCGCAGGGAAGCTCGCCGCCGCAGGGAAATTGCTCGCCGACCATTCCTGGTTTTTTTTTTCTCCGTTCGAAGGAAGGTAAGGAAGGAAGGTCCACTGCTTGAGAAGCTGGTTCGCCGGAGATATCCCGCATAGAGGAACGTGAGTCGCTGGTCTCGCGTAGAAGGAACGCAAAGTGAGCTGAGTTGGAATCTGCTGGGTTTTGGGCTGCCGATATGGACTTCGTGGCTGGGCGCTGCGGGGCTGATTTTGGCCTTTTGGGCTGCTGCGTTTTTTGAAGGATTTCTGGACCTGGACGGCTGCTGAGTTGCTGTATTTGGAGCTGGATTTTTGGGCTGGACCTGGAGGAAAGACCAACGGACCAGTCAACTCCCGCTCAACACACGCAGTCACCAGTCTGTCAAAATGGTCAACGCCGGTCAAAAGGCAGTCAACAGTCCGAAAAATTCCCAATTTTAATTGGGTGGGTAAGGTTGAAACGCCTCTCCTAGGGTTTCGCTCCGGTATATTGACTTTTATCCCTTTTATCGCTTTTGTAGTGATTTAATCTTTTATTGTGTAGAAATCTGTTTTAGGTTTATTACTGCTTTTAAAATTGTTTGAATTGTTGTATTGTGTTTGTGCTGAAAATTTATTATTTATTTGTGCTTATACGGAAGAACAAGGGGTTTGAAGTTGAGTTTGGTGCTCATTAATACTCCCCGCGTGTTCGTGCTAGTTGCTCCATATATTTGTAGCCTTATAAATATTTAAATTGTTTTCAGCGAAATTTACATTTTCTTTTGTTGCTTATTTTTCTCTGTGAAAATGTCTGCTTATAATTAGTATGGTATGGCTCCATTTAATGGAAAATCTGATTTTAGCATTTGGAAGCAAAAAATTAAATGTATTTTAATACAACAAAAATGTTTTAAAGC